AGATCAGTCATAATTTATTTACTAGAGGTTAGAGTGCAAAGCGTAGACCGTTCTGGAGTGAGGCAATGAGGCTGATGAGGGTGGGAATGATGAACTGCGCAGCTGAGCCTGGGGAGGGGATTTGTTCTTCCACAGCCAGAGGTTTAGTATCATAGGGAGGGGAAATTTATCCCCAATCAGTTACCACCAACAATTATAGTATCTATTTTTCCCCTAAAGCTCTATTCAGGTCTTTAACTGTTTTATTGTTTATAGATTTGTCCAATGCTGAAAGGTAGATGGAAATTCAGGTCCCCAACTTATTATAATCTTGCTGTTTTTTTTCCACTTAAAATGGCTTTAAAGTAATTAGCCACTTGTTGCATGCATATGAAGTATTGAAATTTTTCATTGTCTATAGGTCCTTTAAGTAAAATATAGTTTTCCCTATTTATATTTTAACCATGTCTATTTTTGCTCATCTTTTTTGAGACCATGATGTCTATCTTTGCGTTTTTTGAAAATTTACTTGATACATGTTATGTTCTAACCTGTCATCTTAACTCTGTATGAAACCTTATGTTTTAAGTGCGTTTCTTATAAACATTATTATTACTGGATTCTGTTTCTATTGCATTCTGCCATCTTTTATTTTTTTGGATGAGTCAGTCTTTTCATCAGGAATGCCTCAAAGTCCTCTATCACCTTAAAGATTCACTTTTTTCCCCTATAGGATTATTTTCAGTCTTTCAAGATAAAACATTCTTTGTTGTCATCAGCCTTTCCTTTTTGGAATACTCTTTACCAAGGTTTTCTTGGTTGAGAACTCTAGGATAATAACTTGAAGGCAAGTAAGATTCAGATTTTTTTTAAAGGTCATGTTAGAAGGCAATAGGGAAGGAACCACTCAAAAAGGAAAGATAAAAGATTTGAGAGTGGGAACAGGACCAAGTACACAGGTAGAGAAGTTGACCTTGGCAAAAAGAGTCACTTCTCTATAAAAAACTGGTATTAAAAAAGAGATGAGTGAGAGATGATGTTAAGGTTTTTTGAGATGAAGAGAATGGGGGAATAAAGGGAGCCTATACCAAATGACCTCAATTTTGTGAGTAAAAGAGGAGGCAAAGTTCATAGTTAAGAGAAAAGTGGGTTTGAGAGCTTTGTGAGTCACGGGAAGGGGTTTGGAATAACTCCTATGGGGAGTGAGATAAGGTGTTAGGCAGTAATTAAAAGACTGCATTATTGTACTGAGGGTCCAGGTGACAATGGGTTACATGGATTGTAATGTACTCAGCATGGTTGTGAGACTTTCTCCAGCTGTGTTCAGGAGTTCATGAACAGGAGGTGAAGAAGGCACCTGGTAAGTAATCCTGGGCTGAAAGTTGTCAAGAGATGAATGGTTAGAGGATACGAGGGAAAGAAGTTTGAGATTAAAGTAGAATTGAAATAATTAACTAATGAATTAAGATTGGAGAGCAGGAAAGTGAAGTCCGAGCAGGGATACTGACATGAGATTACTGAGGGATAAGGGGATTGAAGACTTGATAAGGAGAAAGGATAAGTTTATGAGGGATGAGGCATAGGGAAAGGTGAAAAGATAGGTTAGAGTCAGATATCAGAATGTTAAGAGTTTCTAATTAAGGAGTACTCATGGAAAATATTCAGATCAAGTATGTGACCATCACTATATATGACTCAAGTGGAGTAAAGGGTAGGCAACATGATTTAAAGAAGCAAAAGAAACTGGGAGATTAGGGAAGTTGAGGAAACATCCATGTAGATATTAAAGTTCTGCAGTATAAGTGCAGAAATGGGAAGGAGATATGATGACAAGATGAATCATGTGCAGAACTCCTAAGAGGAAAATGTCCTGGTAATCAGTATACAACAGCAATCATAGTTTGGACTGAGAAGAAAATTTTAGCTGAATGAATTTCAAAGGCGTAAAGGTTGGTGAATGAAGGAGATAAAAGGGGAGTATGAAATTGACAAAGGGAGGTAAGGACTGTTCCAACTGCTCTTCTAGCTAGGACTAATGTGTTAGGAAGTGTGTGTGGAAAAAAAGTTATAGCCAGTGATTGAAAGGATAACTGCAGTACTCCTATAGTCTTTGTGGCCAAGTCATTTTCTTCCTAGGGCTCTACTTGCAGATATTTTAGAGACACCTTCTTCTGGGTTTTCTTTTTAAGTCTTTCTTGAGCCATACTATAGTATACAATACATAGTATTTGGTACCTTTTTCTGTTTCCTCATATTTTTAGTTTTAGTTCCTGATTTTAAATTTTGTGTGATGTTAGGCTCCAACCCTCCCACACTCTTGGATGAAGTTGTCAGGCTCTGTTTGTCCTGACCTTGATTTTCTGGGCTCCTCCCACTAGTTTTCAACTCTCCTATTATATTTAGGCTAAGGGTACTGGAGGATTCCCTGTCCTTGGTCAGTACTCTGAGGCTGGCTGTCTTTGCTCAGAATGCTTCCTTCAATTTATTCCTTCTTTAAGAACTCTTTCACATGGTGGTCTGGGTGATCTATGACCTCTGATCATATGACTCCTCTAATGAAAATCAAACTCATGTCCCTGACCATCTAAGTCCCCCACAATCCAACTAAGTATCACCTTCTTTCCTTTTATATACAACTATCTCTTCCATTTCTATGGTCTTATATCATTTAAAGCAATAAGAGGTTTCAGAGACCACCTAGTTTACTGCACAAGATCAGAAGTTCTCTTGGACTCAGTTTCCCAATTTGCAAAACAAGGGGTGTTGGAGCCTTCTGGTTCTAAACCTATGATCCTATTATAAGAACGCAGCAAAAATTAGTCTAGGTTGATTGAAACATGAAGGGAAGAAGCATAAAAGCCTGGAAAAGTAGGATAGATTGTGGAGGACTTTAGATGTTAGGATCAGGAGTTTATACTTGAGGTTTGGAATAGAGAAGCACTGACATTTATGGGATTGATCAGCACAGCATCTCGAACATAGGAAATACTTAATAAATGCCTTTTTGTTCATTAGCAAATACTTACCGAAAGTATATTTTGTTTTAAATATAAATTAGAATATTATACTAACAATAAAAAAAAGGTCTAATCCCACTTGGTTTCACATGGAGATACTTATCATACAGTGGAATGTATACTGGCTCTGGCATCTGACAACATGGATTCAAATCCTAGCTTTGACATACTTAATATCTGCATGACATTAAGCATATAATTCCATATTCTTTCAGTTTCCTTATCTATAAAATGAGAGGTTAATTAGATCACCCATAAGATCCCTTCCCATTCTAGATTTATGATTCTATTAAGATCTTGCTCCATCACACTTCCCAAATTTAGAGTTTACCCTTAACCCTACCCATCTATCTTACAAAATGTGTGCCATTATTTGAATGAGAAGATGGGCAAACAGAAGTTTAGAAAAGTATGAACCAGGGCAGCTAGGTGGCACAGTGGATACAGCTCTGGTCTTGGAGTCAGAAGGACCTGAGTTCAAATCCAGCCTCAAACACTTGACACTTACTAGCTGTGTGACTTGCCCTGATCGCCTTACCAAAAAAAAAAAAAAAAAAAAAAAAAAGTAGTATGATCCAACACTACTATCATATAAACAAATGGTATGGCCTACTGATGGTGGGTCAGTAGGCATGTCACCTTATAATACAAATGATAGCATATTATCATTACTGACAAGAACATTACTACTAACATCAATCATTTCAAATTGTCAACATTTTATCAACTAGGTCAGATAGACTGCATTTTTTACTTAAAAGCTAAGTAGTTTCTTACTAAAAAGGAAATTTTTAAAAATTAAAATTTTTTTTAAAAATTTTAATAGTAAACCCTTTATCTTTGATGTATTTTACATGTAATAAAGCTAAGATATTTTCCAATTTCATACATTCTTCCCTTTGAAAGAAGGAAGGAAACAAACATTTACTAAGTGTCTACTATGTGTCAGGCACCGTACTAAGTACCTGACAAATACTAACTGCTTTGATTCTCACAACTCTATAAGGTAGGTGCTGTTATTATCTCCATTTTACAGTTGAGCAAACTGTGGTAGAAAGAAGCTAAATGATTTGCCCAGCATCAAACATTTAGTAAATATCTGAAGATGTATCTGAACTCAGGCCTTCCTGATTCTAGATCCAACATTCTATCCACTGTGCCACCTAGCTGCCTCTAAAAATAATAGGTAGCAAAGTAATAATGAAGACTTAAGGACTTCAAAGAATGAACAAAAAAGAAAATACACTAAGAAGAAAATACCTCATATATATGCATATATATCTATATTTGTAAATAATATATCCAGATACATACACATACCCATATGTATACACACATTTTAAGAAATGGATCTTCATAATAAGGTACTACATGTAATGAGGTTAAAAATTAGAAGTTCTATTTCAAAATCAGACTCAAACCACACAGTTTTTATATATTTATTCACACAGTTGTTATTCAGTCACGTTCAACTCTTTGTGACCCCATTTGTGGTTTTCTTGGCAAAGATACTGGAGTGGGTTTGCCATTTCCTTCTCTAGCTTATTTTACAGATAAGGAAACTGAGGCAAATAGGTTTAAGTTACTTGCCCAGGATCACACAGCTAGTAACTGTCTGAGGCCAGATTTAAACTCAGGAAAATGAAGCTTCCTGACTCCAGGCCAGGCACTCTATCCATTGCACCACCTAGCTGCCCCCATTCATACAGAGTAGAGAATTAAAATTTCATTTGTACACAATTAAATAAGGTTTGGATAAGCATTTGCTAGTAAGCAAAACCCTAGAGATGCAAAGGCAGAAAGAAATATCTTAATTTGCATTTACCAAAACAAAACAAAAGCCTAGGGGAGGACTGAAAAACCAAACAAAACCCAAAATGTTTAAAGCAATCATTTAAATTATTTCTGAACGTCACTTAAACCATCTTTTTACAAACTGAAGTCCCAGAATATTAATAACAAAGGGCAAAACAAGCCATCTGCCTAACAATATATCCAGATTACCTTTTCTGCTGGAGGAGAAGGGGAAAATCTCTTTGCACAAATTAGAAACAAATCAGGCTCTGGTTTGCCATTCTTCACCTCAGGGTCATCACCCAGAATGAGATGATTAAACAAACTAAAGAATTCTTTGTGTCTTTTTGTTTTCTGTTCAAATGATGATCCAGCAGAGCTAGTAGCAACAGCAATAGGTATGTTGTGTCTATGTAGATGGTTGATCAGCTTCTCAACACCTAGAAAGAGAAAAGTACTTAAGCAGGGTGGGCAAGAGATAATACAGTTTATTAACATTTCTTTCAAGGGGCAGAATTTGAAGCACTATAGCAGTGGTGTTTTCCTGACCTTCTGAGAAGTTACTTGATCTGAGACAGATGTGTCATGAGGAGTTATCAACTTTGAAATATCCACTCTCAAAACAAAAATTGAAAAACAGCAATTCGGTGTTTATCCACAGCATTTCCCAAGGTAATAGAAGATGATTTAATTTGAATGAAATGTTGTTTTCTTTACTGGTATGTGAAAAAGTAACTAAAATAATGAAAGCAGGGAAGTACACTGAATATATAGGCCCAGATTTATCCTGGGGAAAGAAAAGGATAATAGTATTCCTAAGACCAGGGCAGCCTTGACAACCGCTGCTTTTTTTTTTTTAAACAACAACGCATAGGCAGGGGTTAGTTTATCAGTGCTCCTTATAATAAAGGATACAATCTACTGAAAGTGATTCTACCATTCATCAGACCACTGAAAGGAGGAAAAAGAGAAAACCCCTCTTAACCCCAAGACTGAATACCAAAACTGTAGAAAAAACACTGAATACATGTACTAAGTTATTTGTAAATAATATAAACATTGCTTATGTCCACTGAAGCATGAAAAACAGGGAATAGCAATCAGTTTTAGAAAGGGCACATTTTCCATGTTCTCAACTGTATAGATTCACTGTGGGGAACACAGATTAATATGGCCATTTGTCTATCTAATTAAAAGCCTGCTGATTATTTACTATTCAAATGATTTACTACTGAGATGAGATAATATGTGTAAAGTGCTTTGTAAATCCTAGATATGCTATAACTGTGAGCTATTATTACTACTAAAAAAACTGGTCAGAAGTATCTGCAATATTTTAAACTTGAAAACCTATAATAATTAACACAAGAACATCATCTAATATACACCATGTCATTGTGTGCTTACATCGATCTCAAAGTGAAAATATTCTCAAAATGGTTTTACATAATCACATGGAATGATTACATTTACATTTTACCTACTACTAAAGAAGTTTAAAAAAGTTTTATCTTTTCAAACATCAAAAGATACTAATTAAGTTTTGATGAATACTGTGAGAAGGTTCTTAGCAGGCTAGAGAATTATCCTTTCATAAAATAAACTCCTACTCATTGATCACATTTTAGAAGCAAATCCAAAATGTTCAAAATACTTTAAAATATTACAAAATAACAGTATCTTATAGATGGTGGGTTGTCTAGTAAAGAGTTTGGAAGCCCTAAATCTCTTCACATGCACTAAAGAATAATTCATTTAACAGGACATGATTTAAGGGATGGATTTCTTAAAGCACCACTTGAGTGTATTTTATTTATTTACCAAATAAATTACCTAAAGTGAACACTTTTCTAAAAACTAGTTGAGTATATAGACATTGCTAATAAAGAATAATAACTGCTACTTACATTTCTAGTGTTTTAAAGTTTACAAAGCTTTTTCCTTAATAACTCTGTAAAGTAGATGCAAATATTACTCCTCCCTTTTTACAAGTGGGGTCTGAACCTAGATGTCATGACTCCAAGTCTAGGGCCATTATATAATAAAAAGAAAAGAGAATGATCTTACCTAACAGTGTTAGTTGATGGTACCTATGTAGTACTGGTTTATGTAATTCTTCAATGCTCAAAATAACTGAGTCCCTGTCATGGGTAACTCAGCAGAACAAATGCAAACAGGCATAGCATTTTTTTCAAGTACACGAAATATCTTGCATTTGTGGAAGATTTTCAGCTTTTGAAGTACTTTCAAATTATATTCAACTCATAGGATTATGACTCTAGAAATGGAAGAGACCTAAGACGTCATCTATCTCAATTCCTTAATTTTAGAGACAAAGAAACAGGCAGAGGGAGGTTGAGAGACTAGCCCAAGTTTACTCAGGCAGTAAGTGGCATGGTCAGTATTTGAACTCAAGTCTTCTTGACTTCAAGTTATAGTAATCTGAGTTGAACACTTTCAACACTATCTCACACTGCCTCTGGTTTCATTTCATTCTTACATCAGCCTGTGAGCTAGGCTAGTTGTCTAGCTCCACCTTTTCCACCTTGTATTTGTGAAGTAGGGTTTTAGAATCCAAGTGAAGGGCTTTATATCGTTATCAGATTTAGCTTTTTGAGATCTTTCTTGATTCTGATTCTATCAATCCAATGTGCTAGCTATCTTTTCTAGCTTCATGTCTTATAACTATATTTAATGCCTATTATGTGCAAGGTCTATGTTAGGTCCTAAGGATACAGAAATAAAAAAATGATGAAGTCCCTGACCTAAAGGAATTTAAATTCTTGGGGGAGGGGACAACAGGAAGTGGTGATTTAATGAAATAATAACATTTATGAATAAACATTGACTTATGAAAATCAGCTTCATGTGAGGAGATTGGGAGAGATGTGGGAGACATCAGTATAGACTAGATAGAGTCTCTGAGGTCCCATCCAGTTCTGAGAGCCTGTGATTCTCTGGTCAAATGTGGGAGATCAGGAAAGACTTCTAATTCTATGTCATCAATTTAAAAAAATGCTCCTGCTGTTATATTGGGAAAGTATCATGAGAAAAATTGAATCTTCCATGAAATACTATAAATGAATTTGCAACATAGACATTGGCCAAATAATCAACTTTTTCTTGACTGAAGAGGTAAGTTGTTTGCCATCATGAAGGAATTCTTTTGGATGTAGTCAGAGCAATTTTACTTGAAGGCAAGAGGGTAAATTAAGTGGCTTAAGACTTATTCTGGTCCTCTGATCTTATATCATAGTCCCAGAAAATAAGAACCCATTTCCCATCTACATGGTCCAATTTCAATTCTTCAATGTTATATTCTTTTAAAAATGGTAAAGTGCCACAACCTAAAGCATTTAACTTTGCTTACCATATGTAATTGAATAAAGCTTGGAAAAAGTACAAAAACAGGAAAGAAAGTATAAAAACAAAGTAATTAAAGGTCATAAATTATAGAAAGTTGGAAAATGAAGATAGTATAGAATGAAAAAAGATGGTGTTCAGGCTTATACACTTTTAATTAGCTCACTGTATTCATCTAATTCCATTACACATATTTGCTAGCTTACAAAGCACCAAATTCACTTATCAATTACAGCCCAATTATAAAACAAAGTATAAAAGTAGTAAGTTAAAATATTTAATGGTGTTAAGAACTGTAGTCCACAGAATTGGGTCTTTAATGGGCAAGAGTAGATTTTAAAAAAAGAATTTATATACATACACATATATTCACATATATGTAAAATATACACAACAAAAGGCATATATTTAAACTAAGTAAGCTTGATCCACCAACAACTTTGACATACTTAAATTTACTCATATATTCTAACTTTCAACTAAAGTAGGCATATTATAGGGGAAATTCTGTTAATTGAGATTTGTATAAACCAGATGATTGATAAGTTGGAAGTTTCACTGTTCTGTTGTAAAATACAGAAGTGTATCTAACTAGAAAATGTCAGTTACCAGCAGAGTAAAAGTATTAATACTATCATCCACAGACCCTCTCATCCTAGCTTCTCAAATATTTACATACAAATTTGGGCTCATGACGTAAGAGTTCTACTATTCTCATAATACCGATGATAAAAACTTGTCAGGAGTTATTTTTTAAAGGCCTTTTAGTAAATGAGGACCAAATGGAAACAAAACCTGCCTTCAAGGTCTCTGTCTGATCCTCCAACCACATAATAACACTACTCATTTATAAATTCAGCTGAAAATTTAGTAAATTCAGAACCTCCTATATTGCTGTTTAGTACAGTCATTTTTTTCTTGTACTTCTTATATTATGCATAGATGAGACAATATCAGAACAATTTTGCTAGGTAGTAAGTTTACACTTCAAAACAAAGGCAAGGCATTGGACAGCTCTGAAATGTGATAAGTGACTCAATTAAAAAGACTTCTCAGAAAATACTTCCATGGCTCCATTTATAATAATCAGGGACTTCCTGTCCTCATTGAAACATTAACAACATTCTTTTTAGAGTTTTTCCAGTGGCTGTTGTCATTGATCAATGAAGGGGAAAAAAAATAACAAAATAGCAGTATCTTGTTCTGTACCTTGTATCCCTATTTCATCAACCTATCGAAATAATTAAGATCTAGGTTTCAGCAGAATCCATAGAATATTAATAGGAAAAATGAATTAAATTTGGACCTCATTTTGTCTGATATACTAAAATCTGAAACACAAAGGTGAACTATTTCAAAACATCTTCAATCCTTGGAAAATACTTTTTATTTTGTCAATTCATTTGTTTTCAACAAACCAATATCAATCACTGAGTCTTTATTAAATATTCTGTGTGCCAGGTACTGTGCTAAGCACTTAAAATAAATACATAATGAATCAAACAACCTCTACTTAAATCTTAACTAGGGAATACAAGGACAAAGAAGAAACAGATTAATTCCAATGACTTTTTCAAGAGGATGGTATCAGGGATTAAACTGAACTACTTAACTAAGTCAATTTATAAAACAGCATTCCTATATTCAATGAGGGCTTAAGTACTGACCAAGGGCTATGCAGGGAGTATATTGATTTTTTTCTAATTGTTTATTTTATATCTCTCCATAACAATATATAAACCCGAATTCACTTCACGGACCATAAGGAAACACAAAAATGGCAAAATTCATTTTCATCCATTTTTTTCATAATAACATTTTCTGTGTCTTTGTTGCCATGAGGGAACATATCACAAGTTCTCTATTATTCTCTGGCTCTGGGGTGGGGAACTTTGGGCCTCAAGGACATGTGGCATCCCTGCTGTAGCTATCTAACTCTAGATAAATCACTTAACTTTTTAGAGTCTTCATTTCCTCATCTATTAAATGGAGATAATGATAGCATTTATCTCATTGGGTTGTTGTGAGGATCAAATGAAATAATGTAGGTAAAGGGTTTTGCAAATAACATCTTAAC